ATTACACTTTTGGTTCTTCAAAGAAACCTGCAGTCTTAGAAGTTGGTTGCATTCCCTGCTTCTCACAATGCAAATAATCCCAAACACAATAACTTCTACTTAATAGCCAGAAAAGAACATAAATAAAAAGCTGGCAAACAAATGAATGAAGGGTGGTCTCTGACTTTAACACAGTAATGTACTGACAGGTATATGGTACTACACAGGTACTTACATATATAATACATGAAGAATTATTACATATTACATATTATTACATATAGCTACATACAAATGTATAATACATATGAGACCTATTATTACACATGGAAACCTAAACATTTCATATTATATAACATATGATATATACTTAAATATGTGTAAGTATACACACACACACACACACGCACACACACACACACACACACACACACATATACTTTTGGTCTATTCATCATGAAATTTACCCACAATGTAAAGAGCAAAAGGCATTTTCAAATTATGTCAAAAACTGAAACAAAAATTGAGATGCAAGGTTTTCTTCTGACAGCAGAGATATATATCACTTGTATGGGCAAAACCTCATATCTCCATTTTTGTTGTTTTTCAGTTTTTCACATAATCTGAAAACGCCTGTTGCTCTTTAACATTGTGTGTAAATTTCATGATGAATGGACCAAAAGAAACGACCAAAATGACTTGGAAAAAACTTTTCCTTCTCCTGTGAAGTCATCATTTTGGAGATACAAGGTATGGGACATGTTATTAATACACATAGATACATACGTACTGTATATAATACATTTGGGACATATGTATGACTGATGTGCTGACACTGTATAAAAACAAACGTGTATTTGTGTGTGTGATGTAAACAGCGGTAAACTGGCAGTGAAGTGTTTGTGATGAAGACCATGGCCGGAGATGTAATAGAGAAGGTATGCAGCATCTATGATTAACTGGCACCAGCGTGTACACACACACACACACACACACACACACACAGAGGTCTCTAACAAAACTTGAACACTTAGATCACACACACACACACACACACACACACACACAGTTCTCTCACAAAACTTGAACACTTAGATCACACACACACACACACACACACACACAGTTCTCTCACAAAACTTGAACACTTAGATCACACACACACACACACACACACATGCACATACTTCTCTCACAAGTATTTACACTCTTATCTCTCCAAAAGTATCCAGACACTCCTTCTAAATATTGAATGCAGCTACTTTAAGGTCACCTATTGCTGACACAGGCATTCAGTTGCACATTCACAGCTTGAATAATCTCCATAGCATTCACTGATAAAAAAGGGACATTCTGGAGCATCAGCACATGAGCCTAAGGCCACCATGCCCAATGCCAAGCATTGGGTAAAGGGGTATAAAGCCCCCCCCCAGCATTGAGTTGTGAGCATTGGACATTGTAGCAGTGGAACTGTGTTCTCTGGAGTGGTGGAGCTCCATCCAGTACCTTTGGGAAGAACTGGAGCGACCCAGAACTAATCATCCAACATCAGTACATGACCTCACCAATGCTCTTGTGGCTGAACACAATCAAATCTTCACAGCAATGTTCCAACATGTGTGTAAAGCCTTGCCAGAAGAGCTGTTACTGCAGCAAAGGGGAACAAACTCTCCATTAAAGGGTCCAGTTATGACGTTTGTGTAGTTTTATATATGAAACACAGCCATATTTTTTTGTCACTGTGCCTTTAAGACTGACATCAGTGAGCTCTAATTCTGATTCGCTGCCTCATTCAAAAAGTAGTCTGAGCTGAAGCACCCCTTATAACTTCAGCACGAATGGGTGGGGCCAAACTGCTGTAGGCTGAATAGGGTGTATGTATGTAAGTATGTTGGTTTTTGTGACCACAGAAACAGTGACTTCAAACATGGGCTATTTTTTTGCAGCTTACTGTCCATATATGGTCAAATGGCCTGCATGACTGGTTAAGAATGTTTTTTCTTTCTCTTGTAATCATTTTGCAGATACAAGGTTATGTGCAGACAATGATGATGTGTAATGGGAAAGTAATTATACTTCATTTATAACAGTATAAATAGAAAACAAGATAGAAAGATTAAAGAATGAATTAATTAATAGGGAAATGTTGTTTTGCATAAATATCTATGCGCAGTCATGTCGGTGTTCCAGTTCCACTCCTGTACAACTGTACATATCATTGCTTCATACTTAATATTACTGTACAAAAACTGTACATTGGAAATGGTGCAATACTATGCATATTAATGTATATATTGTACACATGTGTATATATTTAGAGTCTAATGTCTCTCTCTCTCTGTTGCTCTCTCTCTCTCTCTCTCTCTCTCTCTGTCTCTCTCTCTCTCTGTCTCTCTCTGTCTCTCTCTCTCTCTCTCTCTCTCTCTCTCGTCTCTCTCTCTCTCCCTCTCTCCCCCAGCTGATCAGTAGTAATGAAAACAGATAAAGCTGCGTTTGGTTCTTGCTCAGCAGCTCCAGCTCGTCTCCATTAGTCACTGACTATTGTGTCCAATTACATGATTAGCTTATGAAAACCCTGAAAGCTGCTCAGCACGGCCGCCGCGCGACACCTATCACATCCCCGCCAGATGGCCGCAGCACAGCCGGGCCCATTCATCTGAGAGCCAGCGGCGGGACGCGGAGGGGCTCCGGCTCACCGCAGCAGCGCGCTGTTGACTCTTCGCTTTCACTCTGCCTTTTTCCCCGCGGAGAGGCAGCTGCTCGCCGAGGCTTTCACAAAACCGGCTCCGATGAAAGACATCTTGTTCTCATTAATTCTCCAGCAGCGAAAAGCTCTTGTTGAAGGAGATTAAAATTAGACGACGGCGTGAGAGTTAAAAAAGGCGCAGCGCGGCCTGGTTTATCTCTAAACCCGAGTTAAGGACTAAACGGAGAGCATCCTCTACACACGGCTTTGTGTCGATTAGGCCTAAAAAACAAACCCAAACAAATGAAAAACAGAAGAAAACCCTGGAGTGATATGTATACATGTATATATATACACACACACACACACACACACATACATATATATATATATATATATATATATAAAATCATAGGATAGTGTGTGTGTGTGTATATATATATATATATATATATGCATATAGTGTAATAATGAATATAGAGAGGTATATAAATATACATATACACGTATGTATGTGTGTTTGTGTGTGTGTATAGATTGATTGATTGATCGATTGATTGATTGATTAATTGATTGATAGATAGAAGACTGATATAAGTCTTAGGTTAGTATGAAGTCTTAGTCAACTGTAAAATCTGTCAGTTGTCGGTTAAACTAATATATATACATTAATAATATAGTAACTCTGAGAATTAAAATGTATAAGTTTCACTATTTTAACATGTTCTTTATTCCTCGGTACATTTTATTGACTTTACAGTGTAATAAATTAATTAGAATCAAGACTAAATGTAGTGTGAGTTTGTGATATAAAAGTTAAGTCAAGTTGAAACCTGCCTACTATTTGTTATGACATTGTCTTCTGTGCTGTCTACTGTTTTGTCCTTTTGGCCCTCGTTCCGCCACAGACACCCCACTTTGACCCCCCAAGACAAAAACTTTAGGCACTCCTGAATTAGACGATAACGAGGTTCTATCTGGCTTAAACGTTTGTTTGTGCTGCCACCTGGCGACCAAACAGGAGAAGCGCACTCTTATGTCTTATTCATCAGTGTTCCTCATTCCTGCTTCAGCTCAGTGTTTTATCTGCTCTAAAATAACCATTCTCACCTCATGATGCTTAGTAATAAGCTGGTGAGGTGAATAAGGAGTGGTACAGTAGAGAAAGCGCCAAAGCGAGACACAGGAAACAGATGGAACGGAATCTGGCAAAGGAAGCACACAGCACATTTCAGAAACACAGGACATTCAGAGTGATTTACATACTATTATCATCAAAACAAAATCATACATAGTGCCCTAAAAACAACACTCACACCCACCTAACACACACACACACACACACACACACACACACACTCACTCAGCATTAAAGGTAGTATTAGGCCCAAATTCACTTTCCTTGATATGGATTAAGCCTAGTCTAATACTGCAGTTCCAGCGGTGAATCTCCATCAGAAATTCTCTTTAGTCTAGAATTAGATTGAATATGGTTCTGGTAAACTTGTCCTTAAACCGGTCCTTAATCACGGTTAATTGTGGTTGGTTCTAGACTCTGCAGGAACGTAGATCTCCAGGAACAGGGCTGGTGATCACAGCTACGAGGACTTTGCTATATACTTATGAAAGGTTGTTCAAGGGTTCTTTAGTGAAGGCAATGGTTCTGCATAGAACTATAAACACTCAAAGAATCATGAATGGTTCTTTGTTTGGATAGACAGTTCTTCTCTATGACAGAAACCAGTTGGTTCTTTGAAGAACCCTTTTAAAGTGGTTCTATGTAGCGCCAAAAAGGGTTCCGGTAAGGTTACAAATCCAAGAACACTTTTTCTACTCCTATAATGATGGTTCTACAAGAGTTCTTTAGTAAAGGGAATGTCTCTATTTAGAACCATGAGTTCTGTATAGTACCATTTTATGCTTAAATGGTTCTGTGCATGGTGAAATGGTTCTTCAGATTGATGGAGTATGTACTGTATATGGTTCTATATAGCACCGAAGAGCGTTCTCCCATTGCTATGATGTGAAGCTTGTAACAGTAAAAGAGCCCTTTATGGTTCTATAAAGAACCATTTTCAAAAATCATACACAGCACATTCTCCATCAGATCGAAGAACCATTTCATTACGTAAAGAACCATTTAAGCATGAAACGGTTCTAAATAGAGTCATACCCTTTACTAAAGAACCATCCTTTTTAAGAGTGTGCTAGCTATATAGAACCCTTTCAGCTAAGAGTGTAACGTAGTGTCAGGTGTAGAATTGGGACACCGCATCTTTCTGCAGCTGCTACTTCGAAAACGCGAAATATCGCGAAGAAAAAAAAGTTTGTCCCTCGCCAGCTGCCGTCCCCGACACCCTTTCCCCTCTCTTCTTCCCACAGCGAGTTTTTCCTCTGCTTCCCTTTAACTTTTATCAAGTGAATGGCGGTGAAAGTCAGTGCCTCGACATAGTTTCTGCTCCTTTTTCGTCTCGCCGGTGTGTCCTGAGTGAGTGGCCGGAGAAATGTTCACCACCACCGGGTCGAGAGGGCTGTGTAAGTCCGCCTTCGCCTCCTCACCGCAGCCTGCCATTCATTCCTGCCTCCTCTCTAACCTGCCTGTCTTCAACGAGGAAGGGCTTCACCGCCCTGCTGTGGCTCTGAGATAGCGGGGGACTCAAACTAACTGTCGTTTGGGACCCTTCAGGAGTATTTCTGCTGGTTATTGGTTTGTCTGTCACTTAAAACCCAGCCTGCTGCCTCTCCGGGCTCGCCCTCACCTTGTTTATAGCACCTGAGTCTTGCTTGTTGTGTCACCTTTGCTGAGCTCGTATTACCGTGTTTATAATCTCCAGTTCCAGCTCGATCACTTGCCAGGTCTGGACCATTTCTGTAGCCACTTTAAAGGCTTCCTTTAAGAGCTCGGTGGCTCAGAGAGACCAGGTTACAGGTCAAAGATGACATAGCTCGGTGCGAAGGTCGATGCCGGCCTTGTAGGATATGAACACAGCCTTTGTCATACACTAGTTAGTAGACACCATCATTTCTTCTAAATTCAAGTCTGTTAATAGTCAGTCTGTCCCCCTTTTGATGCAGTAACAGTCTCTACTCTGCTGGGAAGGCTTTTCACTAGATGTTGGAACATTGCTGTGAGGATTTGATTGCATTCAGCCTCAAGAGCGTTAGTGAGGCCAGGTACTGATGTTGGATGATCAGTTCTGCGTCACTCCAGCTCATCCAAAAGGTACTGGATGGAGCTCCATCACTCCAGAGATGCAGTTCTACTGCTCCACAGCCCAATGCTGGGGGGCTTTATACCCCTTCTAGCTGATGCTTGGCATTGGGTATGGTGACCTTAGGCTCGTGTGGCTGCTCCTGAGTGTCTCATTCTATTGGTCAGTGCTTTTCTGTGGAGATTATACACGCTATGCAGCACCTGTGTCAGCAAAAGGAGTGACTTTAAAGTAGCTGTATTCACTAATTAGAAGGATTAACTGAAGACTTGTGCACAGTTAGTGCATCTGCGTATTTTATTGTCTGTGCTGACCTGTATGGATTTAACTTTGCCATCTAAAGGAACGGTAAACGACAGCAAATCTAAGAACACTGCTTTAGTGCCTCATCAGAAATCGTTCTCAGCATCTGACATCATCTTCTCCGTTTCTCTGTCTCTCTCTCTCACAGATAAAGCCCCTCTGTCGAAGAGCCTGCTGCTGCTGCCTGGTGCCCTCACTATGCTGCTGATACTGGGCCTGCCTCAGTACCAGAAACTGTTTGTTTACAGCCTTCAGGCTGTGAAACAGCACAAACAGGTGATACATAGCATGTACTAGAGAGTAGTACAGCATGGTTTGATCTGTGATCCCTTTGGTTACCCATGCAAAGAATAACAAAGACTAAAAAAATATGTACGAAACACTTAATCGTATGTGCGTGTTCATATATCGGAACGAAACCTCGTATCTCTATTTTTGCCATTTTTAATTGTACTGCAGAATTTGAATGGCAGCTGTTCTTTACAATATGTTCAAATTTCCTGATAAATGCTCCAAAGTGACTGGGGGGTGTTTTTTCCTTCTCCTGTGAAGTTACTATTTTGGAGACATGAGACTTATGTAAATATGTGAATATGTTCAGAGTTGCAGAGTTGCCATGGGTATGTATGGCAGTGTTTTTTCAGTCAAGCCCTTGGGGAGCACTGGATTTTCCTCATGTTTCTTCTATCCCAGCTCCCAGTACACCTGAACCAAGCCATCAGTGACATTGGTGTATTTGTAATGGGGGCTTGGATAGAAGATAAAATTTGGACTGTCTGGTGAGTCCTGAGGACTGGATTGAGAAATATTGTAGTATATTAAGCAAACTTTTTAGTGTACTTAATATTGTTTTTGTTGTTTTGTTATCAGTAGTAGTAGTAGCAGTAGAAGTGTTGGAGCTGTATTGGTTTTTACCATTTTTTTAAACCATACTTATTAAAGCCAGACTGTAAAAACTATTACTTCCTGCAGATTCATACTGAATTGAATTAACATCACAAATTTTACAATCAGACTGTAAAAAAATACACTACTCTGCAGATTCATACTGGATTAATATCACTCTGTAGTTATTACTGTCAGGCTGTAGAAACGACACACTTCTTATTCATACTGGATTAAAATCCTTTGCAATTGCTACTGTCAGACTGTAAAAACTTTATACACTGCAGTTTCATACTGGATTAAAATCACCATTATTACTGTCAGACTGTAAAAACTTTACACACTGCAGTTTCATACTGGATTAAAATCCCTCCACAGTTATTACTATCAGACTGTAAAAACTACACACACTGCAGATTCATACTGGTTTAAAATCAAGGGTCTCAGCAGTAAAAGTACCTCCTCAGACAAAACTAATCTAGCTCTAATAGGACTTAACTCACTTTGTCTCTGTGATATTTTCGCCTTCAGTCGTGTTGGTTCACATTCAGATGTACTTACCGAAGATTCTACTCCTGGCATAAACTCCATTCCAAGCCAAAAGTATCACTACAGATAAAGATAGTATCAGCCGGGCATGCCGCTCACCCAAACTGGAATCGAGCGTTACATTTTGGAGAGGATAGAACAGTATTAATTTCAAGCGCATCATTTCTCTTTTAGTAAACGATCACAGGCTGGCCTAGTGTAGCTGACACACTTTGGAAAGCATACGCTGAAGTTCATCTTCTTCGATTAACCTTTTTGGAGGAATGAGTCTGCATGATGCTGCTTTGTTGAAGCTTTTTTGAAGAGGTTTACTTAGTCTTGGGTCAGGCTGGCTTTGGAAACAAGATGTCCTTGTTTTGCTGTTATGAATCAGACTAACCTTTTCAAATGTCATTGCTTGATAAGCAGAGCTTTTAAGATTCACTTCCCTATTGGAAATTGTACCAGACACAGATGTTCTTGCAGAACGTGAGGGTGAATACAAGCACCTAAAGACTGTGTATGTGTGTTTAGGTCTGGAGGCTGGTCAGTGGGAGGCTGATCTGTCTGGACGTGAAGGACACTTTCTGCAGCAGTTTGCTCATCTACAACTTCCGCATATTCGAGAGAAGGTTTGGCAGTCGTAAATTTGCAGTAAGTCACTCAGAGTGATCAGTTGAACTCGCCTCACCACTTTTTTTTCAGCTCCCAAATGACCTTTCCTTACTCAACTTGAAAAAAAAAATGTTCTTTCGTAACAACTGTTGTAAGTTTGGACAAGCTTTACAGAGTGTTGACAAAGATCACACTAAACCTAATTAGAAATTATAGTATCTTTTATTTAGAATCGCCGTGAACTGTTGAGTTTCTGGTTTAAAATACTCCACCACCATACTGGTTTTATGTTGTTGTAGCTTATTGAAACTGATCAGGTTGAAAAGACAACTACGAATTTGCTAATGTTAGTGCAATTTTACAACATAACAAAATACATATGATCTATCTTAAATCTGACCTTTCACATACATACAAAATAAATCCAATTTAAAAACAATAACACCCTAAATCTTGGGATTTTTAAAATAAAAACTGATTTGTGGGTTACAGTTTCAATGTTCTGGTTATCCAACCAGGCAACAGCATGTTTGTGAGTTCAGACCATGCCTTCAACATGGTGGTGGTAGTATGAGGGAAGACTGAGATAGGGGGGAGAACTCTGAATGTGGGGGGAGTTCTCGGCATCTTCTGTCTGTAGCTAGAAGGCCAGGCCCCCTCATAGCTGTAGCAGGACTGAGGAACAGGGAGGAGATGGGGTGCTGGGGCTTGAGAACACTTTGTCACAGGAGCAGAAGGTGAGGATGTGAATTTGTAGGGTGTTAGATTGGAAGAAGGAGGGGTTTCAGGCATGTTACGCCCCCCAAACGTCAGTTATAACTACATAAAAAACAACACATTTGTGGGTGGAGCGTGGTTAGGTCAGTTCACCAGATTTTACAAAACAGATTTTTTTTTTTTTTTAATAAATTGGATCATTTTAACCCAAAGTGACGAATGTTCATTAGGAAAGATTCAGGAAAGATCTGCACTGACACATAAATCCTTGCGGCAATAGATTATTCTTCCTGACTCTCGATTAGCATCCTAGATTAGTTCTGGGATGTTTCCTGGATTTCAGACATGGTTTTAGTGTGTCATTAGGCTGATTTATATCTTAATAAAAAGAGTTATGAATCGTTTTTCTTTTTTTTCAAATATTCTTATCTTTTTTTTGTCTGATTAAATAATGGTCCATTTTCACGTTAATTAGTTACATAACACTTGCTTTCTGTTGAAACAAATAGATTTTCATGGAACTGATTTTCTTGTTACTCATATGACCTTTTCCTATTTGTGCCAGTCCTTCCTGTTTGGAACCTGGGTTCTTTCTGGATTACTGGACTTCCTTTTGGCGGAAACCTTTCAGTTCTGCTTTGAACTTCAGGTGGACGTGCTGCCAGCTGGACTGTGAGTAACCTTCCTGATATTTGTCAGATGACTTTAGTGGATGATGAATTCTTGCTAGGAATGTGTGAAGTCTTCTTTTTGGTGTAGTTCTACGTCTCCACCACCAGAGAGGGCTGTTTGCGTAGCACCGTAGTGTTTGTTATTTACACCTGCGGTGTTCTTATTCAACTTCCCCTGTTGGAATGATCATTTCCTTTGATAACACTGTGGCTGGGTGATGCTCTTGCGAAGTGTTTCACAATTTCCTCTGTCTGTGCATCAGATATGAACTTCCCACTCCAGCATGTGTGGAAATCTGTCCTGTGGCAGAGTTTAGTGCCAACACGAGCCTTTTTTGGTCATTTTTTAAAATATTTAGTAGGGACAGATAGATGAGCATAGAAAATTACAAATAACGGTCAGATGTCATATCAGAGTATTTACAACTGTATCCTAATTTGCAGTGTTTGTTCCCAGATGGACCTTTTAATTAAACAGCATGTAACGATGGTGTTAATTAGGGGTGTGGGAAAAACTCAATTCTTAGATGCATCGCGATGCGGACGTGAACGATTCTGAATCGATTCATAAATGTCAAAAATCGATTTTCTAAATATTTAATTTATAACGTAATGTTGACGGAACGCAAAAGGTGGAACTGGAAGTGGGGAAGTGCAGCGCCCGGACAGTCTGTGGCGGCACATAACAAAAACACTACTGGAGGAGCGAGAAATTCAACCAGCTCCCTCTGCATTAAAGCCAGGTTAGATCAGGAGTCACAACACAAATGATAAGAAGAGCCATTTTGTCCTTTTAACGAAGTCAAACCACCTTGGGAGCCACAACAATTAATGTCCAGTACGTGTTAATGTCGTAGTATGGGCTAAAAATATAAACGAGAGCGCAGATTTACTTCGCTCTGCTTTAAGCTTTAGCTATAGCCGCTTTCCTCCCATCTCCGCCAGAAAACCTTTCTTCAAAACTAGAAGAGTTTCCTGTAAAATGTCTCAGCATGCGGCTGTTTTACGAGGCTGAATTCTGCCTTAGGCGCCGAATGTAACTGCTGCACCATTTAAGGTGGAACGGGAGAATTCGAAAGAGAAGCGAGTTCATTTTTGCAACTTTTTAGAGAAAGACAGTCTCTCAGCAGATTTAACCAACCGCGCTGCTTATAAATGTGAATAAGTCTCCAAATGTTCGTCTTAGTCTGTTTTTTCGTTCGCTGCTAGCGAGGCCAGACCTCGGGGCTATGTGACCCTGCTGTCTGCTGTCTGTTCTCGGTCGTTTAGAACCAGGGCTTTCGCGCTATGCTGCACACTTTGGAGCCGAGATTCAGCGTCCAGTCATAAAAATACCCCCCCGCCCACAACGAGACCAAAACCGAAGTTATGAAATGACTAAAGAAAACGGGAAGGTTGGCTGTAACGCGCTGCGTGGACACCAATTATCACTGGATCTTATTTCAGGGTAACAGCGTATTTGATCGCAGATGAGTGGCAGCAGCGTCTCTGAATGAGAGCCTTCTAGTTCACTTGCCACATCACTTCCATTTGATTTATTAATAAAAGATATTTTAGATATTTAAAGCAAAGTATTTGTAATGATCCATAATACATTTACATTATGGATCATTACAAATACTTTGCTTTAAAACTACCAAGTTTTTAGACAGTAGGAAGATGGAAATCCTGTGTAGAGAAAAAAAGATGCATCGATAATCGTTTTATAATCGCATCGCAGCCCTCTGAATCGTAATCGAATCGTATCGTGAGGTGCCTAAAGATTCCCACCCCTAGTGTTAATATACTGCTTCAGGGTTGGGTTGATTTGGCAGGGTTGGCCAGCGGTCCAGAAACTCATGTCCGTTTCTGTGACACATTATTATTCTAGTGCAGTCTGCTCAAATTATTATTTTTTTTTACATTTCATTTTTTATAATATATAACTATTCATCAGTTGAAGCTCCAGGGAGCCAAATCCATTTTTTCTTATTAGTTTGCTATTGCGGCCATACAATACACATGTACGAAGGATGTCATATGAATAACTTTCCAATGTTTTTGACCAAAATTCATCCCTTTCGATGTAAACTGGGCGGTCCTAGTCTTGGCTAAAAATATATATAAATATTACCCTCATTAATCACGAGGATGATATGAGTTGTCCCACCCACAAAGTTCTCCACAGGTGTCTTTTGGTTTAAGTCAGAGAAATGTAGAGCAGAAGCTAACAACAAGCAAAAGCTATCCTAGTATGCATCAAAGAGCTATTAAACTAGCTTGTCTGTGTTTTTCTGTCATTCATTCATCCTTTTGTTCGTCCAGCTGGCCATGCTCACATCCCCTGGATGCACATCCAGCATTAAAGGAATAAGGACCTTAACTTCATTAAGACGCCACCATATAAAAGCTGGATAATGTTTTACTGAGAGTAGCGTACAGTGCCGCCTGCATACATGTAGAGCCTGTTTTACTCGTTTCGTCCTGCTTTGCTCGTGCTCATGTTGGGTTCTGCATCAGTGATGGAGCAGGCTGGGAGTCTTAGACAGTGAGATGTCAATCTAACATGCACATTAGAATATTGGGCAACACCAAACAGTTCACTGATAGGTGAGATCAGTGACTTTTAAGCAGTGTTTTATTATATTTCTGTGTTTTTTTCTTTTTTTTTCCATTCGGACTTTGCTGGATGATTAATATAGCGTGACATTTTAGTGTCATTTGAGTAGGGGTTTGAGTCTTGAGACTGAAACCTTATCATATTAACTAATAATCCTGAATGATGTGGGTTCATGAAAATGCTTATTACTGAAAACGGCTGGCAAATACTAATGGCTGATGAGTAAGAACACTCAGAATTTGACGTTAGATAAAACTAATAGATAACACCAACGTAAAGACAATATGAATGGATTACAGAAGCCCAGGCAACGGCAAAAAGTTGTACATATTGGAAAATAAAGCGCAGCCCACTGGGTTAGAGGTGTGTGGCTCTTTTGGGCCAGGTGTTGGATTGGCTGCTTTTGATGTGTCAAGAATTAGGTTGGTGTTCCTTTACAAGTGTGGTTAGAATTTTTGAAGCCCACTCAGAAGAAAAAAGTACAAACTATGCTTTTTCATTTTGATGTGGTGTGACATCATAACTTTTCCTTTAACCTCTTAACCTTTTTTTCCGGTTGTATTGGTCGTGTCTCAATGAGATATTGGCTCTTGGTTAAAGGAAACGTTGAGTATTGTGCATATACATACATTTCATTTGTTATGGTGTGCTGGTGATCACCCCAGACACTTACCTTGGTGGTTGAGGTTAAATATAGTAACTTTGTGAAACAGGCCTCTCCAGAAGCTAAAATGGAGGATTATAGAGCATGACTCAAAGTCAGCAATTTATGTCTTCAGATGAAATACATGAAAGAAGTGTTAACCACTGAGAATCAACCATTAGCCCTGCATGTTACACTTCACTGGTGGTAGATCTCTCACTATCAGTAGTTCATGTACAGATCATGTGACATTTTAAAAGATAATTTTTGTGGATAACCTATCATATCTCAAATATATCTTGGGACCAACGTAAAAACCCTTGTGTCAGAATATGTCTGTTGGAAGATAAGCCTTGGTCTTATCTCTTCGCACTATCTACACCAACATATACCAGACTTGCTGAATTATGCAGCGTATGCTTCTTTCTAAAATAGCGGACCCGTTGTTTGTGTCTTTGTTTCTTGTTCAATTTAAGTCTGTTTTACTGTCAGCTTGTTTGTGAATGTTCTTTCTTTCCAACGTGCGCTGCCGCTCAAGACAATAGAACAACCACCATCTGCCAGCATTGTGTGTACATGTCTGTCCTGTAGTAAACAAAGGGTCTACTATAGGAATGATGGTTATAGTGACACCTTTCATTACCCATTTTTCAAGTTTAAAAAGCTCACAAAACTGCAATTATTGCTGAACTCTTTGTTTATTGTTATTGATTAATTCCTACTGTTACTTGTGCACGTCCTCACCATTGTTCAACATGGACAGTCAACTTTGATATTAAACAAGCAATTTTTAAACTGTTAACATTGCCGTTTCACCAGTTTGTTGTCCCTTTCTGACCTTTTACCTGTCTCTAGTTTTTTATTGTTGTCTCCGTAGTTGCCTTGCTCCATGACACGAAGACGCAAAGCAGATATTTATCATTCTGGAAGGTCTGGAAAAATGTTCAGCATTTGCATCTCATTAATTACTGGCTTTTATCACTATATATTCCTAACTTTAATCTCTCATGGAAATATCATGTTCATTGTACTCTCATACTCCAAATCGTACCACTTTAATTGCAGTATGCTGTTTTGTCCATGTTAACCAGCCCTACGACAGAATCCTTAAGTCGCTTCTCTCTACTTGTCTTCCTTGGAGAGATGAATAACTGCTCTGAAAAGTTCTGACCAGTGATGGATGTCTGCATGCTCTCACAAATGTCCATTGTCCATACTGCCCTATCTTTAACCATGTCGCATGGCATTATAACATGTTCATCATTGTTTAGTTATGCTCAAATTCATAGCACTGCAGCCATAGTATGATGTTTTGTCCTTATCAAGCAGCCGTACTTCAAATCCGTAAATTGCTTCCTTTTTCGTCGTTGGACTTGCGATCTGGCCATTCTCCACTCATGCCTAACCATCCACACAGGAGGTTCTTGATCTCAGGAGCCACTCCCGATAGGGTTTAGGGCCAAGTGGTTGTGCTGACGGCTCTTGCCACGGATATGCGAGAAGTTGTCGTGCGTGCCAGAACTTTCGGGTGAGGTCCGTCCAACACTGGAGAACGAATTGCTGACCTGACGCTTTAAGATCTTCAGCACCTTCCTCTTGTAGCCCTTGCAGGCAAAGAAGTAGACAAACGGATCCAGACAAGAGTTGAAGTTCATCAGACACACAGTGATGTGCAGGGAAATTTGGAAAGCCTGAAGCTCCCCGCAGTCTGGATTGTAGATCAGCTTCCGGACCATGTACTGCAACAAGTCCAGGTGGTACGGGCTGAAGCACACAACGAAAACCAGAACCACGCCGGCGATCACTCCTCTGGCTTTATGAGTCCTTCCAGAACGTTCTGTTAACTGGTTAGTCTTTGCTGCTAGGTGTAGTTTGCGGGAAAGCACAGAGTAGCATATGAGGATAGTCGCCAACGGAATGCCGTAGCCCAGAAGCACTGCACCAATCAGAATGTATGGCAGGCCTTGGACCTTGGTCTCGAAGTTTGGATACTCCATGCAAGTGATGGTGCCATCGTTTTCATTATTGGTCATGGGCATGCCCAGTAATGGTAGGATCTGCACCAACACCACCAACCATACGATCAAGCAAATGTACTTCACGTTCTGCACTTTCCTCAGCTTGCTAAGCCTCTGCTGGAGCACCACGGCCATGAAGCGGTCCACAGCCAGGCAGGTCATGAAATTAACCCCTGCGTAGCAGTTGAGGTAGAAGAGCAGGGCTGTTAGCTTGCACATTGTCTCTCCCATGGGCCAGTGAAAGCCCAGGGCGTAGTAGATCGCCCGTAGCGGCAGCGCCAGGCAGAAGAGCAGGTCGGACGCTGCCAGGTTGGCCGAGTACAATGTGGTGGAGTTGAGCTTGGTCAGGTTGGAGCGGATCACGTGCAAGGCCAGAGCATTGCCCAGCAGGCCCATCAGGCAGATGACGGAGTAGATCAAAGGCATGAGCACCCGGGCCACTGGACGGTGGTCATATAAGTTGGTGCACTCGGTGAGATTCATAGAATCTGGTACCGTCATTGTCACTCGATGATGAGTCTGAAAGAAGAGATGCGAATTGACATTGTAAGATATGTTATCATAAAGCCTAACAGTATTTATGTGTTTTTAGTTCAAATCTGTTTCTAGAAACACCCATCTCAGGTGGGTTAGAGTACAAGGGTTGATCAAAGATCAAAAGTATGATCAAATTAACTCAGATCAGTGCAGTAAGACCTGGTAAGACTTGGGCATAAGTGCATGTGTCTTCACCCTTTACATGAACCAGGTAAGAGCATTTTTAGATTTGCCAAGATTTGTCAAGTAATGTGATGCAAATGTGTAAAATATCTTTTTTTCCAGATGTTTTATGCCTTTTTTACAGTCTTTTAACACATTTTTAAATGTTCTTGCATAATTCAGTCATTGAGATGTAACAGTGATGCAAAACGGTTCTTTGTAAAGAAACTTACTGACTCACGTTGATTGTAATAGGAACCAGGGGTTGCGCTATCTTTGGTGAAAATATAGCCATTTTATTTGCTATCCAAAACAACCAGTGCGCTTACATGTGTCCTATGATTTTAAGGCCATAAAATCATAAAAAAGATCATAAAACTCTCTCAGGCACTGTGTATTTGTAACCATTTCATGTAATGAGTTTTTTTTTTTTTGTGATGTAGCTTTTAAAGCACAAAACTCAGCAGATGTCTGGTTCCTCTCACGAGCACCATAACCGATGCTGGCAAAGGACGTTTCTCTACAACGGAGCATTTCACATCCACCCACTCTGAATGACTTTGTTTACAACTGAATGATGTAGTTATGCAGAAGTATATGAAAAAAAAATCGATGTAATGGAGTTCCCCTTTGAGTACATTTGACAATAAAAGATACTACATACAAGTGTCTTGTGGCGCCTGCCAGGCCACCATTGTAAATAAGAATATGTTCTTAATGGCTGCCTGGTTAAATTAAAGGCTAAATAAAATAAATAAACCCAATATCATCGCCAAGCTTCTTCCAATATACATTAGCCAACTTAATGATGACTTAATGATGAGCTGTATGTTAAATAAATGTAAACAATCTCATGGTTGAAAGACAATGAATTCAAAGCAGCGCCATAGCAGAACAAGTACAATTGTTTAGAAATCTTGAAAAAGTGCATTGCAAGTAACACTGAGGTCACTGTGGGAAAATAACTGCGTCTGGGAACAGAAAATACCAGAATGTTAAAAAAAAGTTTTGAAATGACTTTCAGCCTACGTAGCACAGACAGGCTATCAAATGTCCACATCTGCTGCTTGTAGAAGGCGACAGCACCAGAATGCAGAATGCGTTCTGGTGCCGAGATATGCAGATATGGCAGAATTTTCACAGCATACAATGTGCATCATGATATTTAGTTTTTCTGACGTTTAATTCGCTTGACAAAAACAGACAAAAAAATGCCAGCCTTATTCAAAAATACCTTGTGCAAACATTTTTATTTAAAAAGAGAATTAAAAAAAAAATTAACTGTCTTTTCACGTTGCAAGTAACAAGTAGCACTCAAAAACGAAAATATCTGGTTGCCCATCAAGAGTTTTGTGAGATTAGTGGAAAAGCGTGGTTCAGCAAGTTTCGAAAGAGCTCTTTGCGAAGGTTAAATAGAACTTGCCTTGCAGTTTGAGACGTTTAATGGTGTTAGCTACTAGATGTTGGAAAAAACTGATTGTTAGTAATGCTAGTAAATACATGTAGCGGATGTCTGTGCTAAAACTCAAGCCATTGTGAACAAATAGCTTTGTCTAGCTAGCTAGCAATGTTCAGAAGTAACTTAAGTTTGTGGGAATATGAACGCTTTGTATTTGTATTCATCTGTGAGAAACATAGGTTCAAGCTAGCATTAGCTAGTTTGAGGCTTTGCAGTATGTCTTTGCAGTAGCGAGCTGGTCGTCTAACGCCTAGGTTCAAGCTAGTGCTAGCTACCTTAGCTAGTAGTTTGTTAGTTGTGTCTATGCAGTTGTTCTGGTGAATTCTAGCTGTGTGGAACCTAAATTCAGCTGCTAGCTGGCTAACTTAGTTAATAGCTTGATAGTCATGTCTTTGCAGTGGTAGTTCTGTGGAGCTGAGCTGGTTAGCTGGTTTTACATTTAGAATAACCTGCTGATATCTGGCTAGTTTAGGCTAATGAGAGGCAGCTTGGCCTCTCCCGTAGTTGGACAGCTACTAACTTAAAATTGGTTCCAAAAACAAATCATTTTTGTGTCAGCTGGCTATTACCTCAACTGATTTAGTGATCTAGAGGAAGAGTTCTGGTAGTAGTATATACTGCATATTGTATATCGCTGTTGTCTGAAGAAAATCTTGTATCTCCATTTTTGTCATTTTTGTCATTTTTCAGTTTTTGACATAATTTGAAAGTGCCTGTTATCCTTTACATTGTGCATAATTTCATGATGATTGAAATAAAGAAATGACCCAAAATGACTTGGAAAAATGTCTGGTTCCATTGAGTTACATTAAAAGTAAAGTAGGTTTTTTCCTTCTCCTGTAAAGTTATCATTTTGGAGATGAGAGGTTTTCTTCCGACAACAACGATACAGTTCATATTCTTGTAGCAGTCAAGAAGTAAACACCTATTTTCAACAAGGATAACTGTGTAGGCCACCCCTACACCACTAATTATAGAAGGGAACAGATGGCATACCAGAGTAAAATTGAATGTCATTGTATCCAGCCTTTTTTTCAGGTTCACTACTATTGTACCCTCATCAACACTGCACATGTAAACTCAGACACGCATAGATTCTCTTGATAGAAAATAAAATTTTTAAATCTGTTAAATAAAAATCTGTTCAGACGTCTGACATTTGTTTACATCATGACGCCTGGTTCGTCATCTCTGAAAAAATCTCACTCGTTTCGTTTATCTATAAAGCACCATTTCACATCAAACCACTGAGTGTCTCTCTACATCTCACCCACTGAATCGGAATTCCCCTTAAACGTTTCACACGCCGTGCCATGCTAACTTCAGTTAAACAGGACTTTATCCTTTTTTATATCATGTCCTCTTAGTGCTGAAGATTTCCACAGTGTGCTCAGGAAACCAAATTGTGGAGTAATTTGTCATGATAACGTCATATTGGCCGCCACAGTGTCGACAGGTGCCAAACGCAGGGTGGTTGTACTAATTTAATGACTTAGACAAGCTTTAAAGCACTATCAATTGAAATAGGATGATTCCAACATTGTACAACATGCATTTAAAAGAAACTGCCCGAATATCAGCGCTCTTACTCCATGTAAAACCACACTTGGGGAACTGCACGTAGGGGAGTGTGGACAACAACCTAATGCAGGACAGTATTTAACACAGACTTTTTATGTTGTTATACAAGGTTTGTGGCCACAATACCATATTTACCCACCACGGTCTCCTATGAAAATATGGAGCGCTTCATCAGTGTTTGAAAGACATCTGTGCCTAAGAGTGTTTTCAGGCCATGTAAGTCATTTTTTCGGTTACTGAGCTGTTTTTGTTCATCACAAAATCCAACCTTATATTACTTTAATCACCATCTTGTTGCCGAAAGCGTAGCACCATTTTGAAGCATTTGACAAGCTTACAGCAAGTGATAGCCAGGCTTAAGTACAGCCTCCGTACTGTGGGGTTGGTTGTAACATTGTGTCACAACCAAGCCACAGATATAGTACATTTTGTCCTTTTGGTCCATGTTCACACAGATTTTAAGATGAAAAATAGAAAAACAAGGACTTTCTTCTGCTTTTTAGTATCTCTCAGATGTGAGTGTTTTGGTTTATTAATGAAACTGACATTAACAGCTGGTAAAGCTGTAGTTATTCGGGAACAGTGTTCCACATTTTACTGATGTGTGATGTTTTTTATTTGCTTATTATTATTTCGTCATTGTTTGACACACAGACTCATCTCAGTTTTCATATATAGTTTGATGTGTGTGTATCAGCTGAGCTGTCTGTCTTCTAGAGAGATAATATATAATGCAGTACTGTTGGAAAATGTATTTGTTCCTTACAAAATACAATTATATTGAATTGACTTTGTTTGCACTGATTCATCAGACTTTTCTAGCAAGTGTTAAACTGACCCTCTGCCTGATACAATTAACCCCACCCATGGGGTCTATTGTAGCATTGCGCTTCCTGTCATTTTCAGTAGAATTGTACATGAACGATAGGTGGTAGAAACGAAGTTAAAGTGTTGGTTTGTAGCCGAGATGCATGTGTTACTTGTATAAAAACATGATTATTCCAACTTAAATATTTTCAGATTTAGCAAAAACCAAAAATGTGCTGTGCTCCACTCTCCTCTACTATTTCTAAACAACTTCTAGTTGTTTGTCTTTCTCCAATTGTCTCTAAGTATAAAGTATGTAGTAAAACCCAGGTGCCTCCGAACATTTTGGAAAAGATCCAGAATGTTATCAAATTGACTGTCGCAGAAATAATACTGATACAGTGTTGTTTGTTGTTTACACTTGGCTCTTATATTCTAAGTATTATAAACTTTCACCTAAGATGCGCAAAGTTGGAAACAACCACATGTTCACGTGCGCAATCATGCAAGTTGATGGCGCAGCTATAACCAGAGTGACTTTGCAGAGATTGTTATATCGTCGCTGTCCAGTGAAAAACAAATATCTCCAAAATGACTTTACAAAACAGTACTATGTAAGTTTAGAGTAAAGAGGTTTTATTCCAGGCACTTCTGGAGCAGTTATATTGGCCAATTTATCATGTGCTGAAATGATGATAGAGAAAAAGAAAAACTGAGGGGGAAAAAAATGGAGAGATTTTTTTTTTTGGACAGTGACATAAGCAATATAAACCCTTGACAACATTTTATTAGACTGTAAATATTAATGAAATGATGATTGATGCTGAATTATTCACAAGTTTTCCACTTCAAAGATTTCTTTACCGATTCTATTTTTCCACTTTTGTTTTTCAAGTGCTGTTCTTAACGTTTATCATTTGTGGTGTCCCTTTAGTTGATCATAAAAGGTACGCAATATGAGAAGAGTAATTACAGTGCCATGAGTAGATAGGTAGAACTGCAATTGTTCTGTCTACACTTGAACTGCTGAAGCAGCGTCACAAATATTCACCAAGACATTTCACACATGGTAACATTTTAAAACACGGCAGTTTTAAAAACATTGTCTAAGTTTCTAAGTTCATACATTTAAAGCTAATTCTTGTCTGTATTTAGTCATTTACTCACCAGATGGCTGAGACGCTGCGAATTTACCTGGTCAAGCGACACTGGGTTTCTCTTCTAACACACAACCCGCACACCTCACTGTTCCTCTCCCTCACTCTCTCTCTTACTCGCTCTCTCTCTCTTTCTCTCTCTCTCTCTCCCTCTCTCTCTCCTCTCTCTCTCTCTCTCTCTCTCTCTCTTCCTCTCTCTCTCATTCTCTTGCCCCCCGTCTCTCTCCCCTCCCTTTCTCTCTGTCTCTCTCTCTCTCTCTCTCTCTCTCTCTCTCTCTCTCTCACTCTCGCTCTCGCTCTCTCTCCCGCTCTGTTTTTTATTCTATTCCATCATTGCAAGTATCTCACCCCACAACCAACGTTATACTTTTTTCAAAATCAAATGCAGAAGTGTGAAACTGCCACTGAGTGACTGAGCTGCATCACTTCCTTTCCCCTTTTTCACTTTTTTTTTTTTGTCCTCCTCCATTCTTCTGTCATAAGACAGCCTTAGGCCTAATGGAGAAGTGAAACTCCATCCACAGACTATTTGACATTAAACTGAACTTTTTTCTTTTCTTTTTAACTTATCCAGCTGAATGCTTGGGATGGATGTGGAACTGATCGTAGATCAGCGCACATGTGCGTAGAGAAACTTTAAAGGTCAACCACAAATGAGTCAGTCATTAGTGGAAATTATGGTAATATTTTAAAGTGAGATTATTTTCTACGCAAGTGGAAATTTGGTTAATATCAAGACAGCATTAGTTTAGGGAAGATTGAAGTTAAACAAGTTGTTCCTCTTTGTGGTTCTCTCTAGAACAGGGTTTAACAGTTTGAAAAAGAAAAACGAGCCTTAAAAACATTGTAATGAAATGTAAACCTACATTGCTGGTCCGCCCCTCAGTTTGATTCGCCATCGTTTACCATCTTTAATGGAAACTACCATCACTGATCAAAAGTGAACCCGTCTGTTTGTTAGAAGTGGGCAGTGTTGTGAATCTTTTATGTGGCAGGAGAGTCAGGAGATGTGGGATGCAGTGATAGTTCTATATTAGTCTGCACTAACCCAGTCTTTATTCTAAGAGCACTTGCTCCATCCTGACAGCAACCCAGTCTGCAGTCTCAGTCTGTCATAATGCAACATCCCAGTCTTTATTCTAAGAGAGTTCTGACATCCGCACTCTCAGTCTGCGTTTGAAGCACTCTCTGTCCTTCTGCAGTCCAGAAATCTAACATGCACACTTAAATACAGGCAGGCACACCTGTTCCCAGAAACCTCGATGACGATCTGTGATTACCATTGTAAAAATGTAAATAAAAAGAAAATGCACTGATGTGCAAACCATTTTAACTCCTACATTAAATTGAAAACAGCGCAAAGACAACATATCAAATGTTGAAACAAAATTTTTATTGTATATTTTCCCATTTTGAATTTGATGCCAACAACATGTTCCAAAAAAGTTGGGATGGGGGCAACAAAAGGCTGGTAAAGTTGTGTCAAAAAAAAACCAAAAAAAAACCTGGTGGTTAATTGGCAACAGGTCAGTAACATGATTGGGTACAAAAAAGCATCCCCAGATACTCTCTGAAGAGTCTTTCAGAAGTAAAGATGAGGAGGGGTTCACCACTTTGTGAAAGGCAAATAGTGCAACAATTCAAGAATAACGTTTCTCAACATAAAATAGCAAATTGCTTTTCACCATTTACGGTACATAATAACATTAAAAGATTCAGAGAATCTGGAGAAATCTCTGTATGCAAGGGACAAGGCCAAAAACCAGTATTTGCTGCCTGTGATGTTTGGGCCTTAAATGAGCTTTAAAAACAGACATGATTCTGTAGTTGAAATCACTGCGTGAGCTCAGGAACACTTCTGAAAACCACTGTCTATGAAAACAGTTCGCTGCATCCACAAATGCAGATTAAAACTCTAAAACGCAAAGAAGAAACCAAATATAAACAGGATCCAGAAACACTGCCACCTTCTCTGGGCCCGAGCTCATTTAAAATGGATTGAGGGGAAGTGGAAAAGTGTCCTGTGGTCCGACAAATCAAAATTTGAAATTCTTTTTGGAAATCATGGACACTGTCCTCTCCGGGCTAAAGACCACTCAGCTTGTTATCAGTGCACAGTTCAAAAGGCAGGATCCGTGATGGTATAGGGGTGTATTAGTGCACATGGCATGGGTGATGTGCACATCTGTGAAGGCACTATTAATGCTGACTGATATATACGTGTTTTGGCAACATATGTTGCCATACAGACAACGCCTTTTTCAGAGAATGCCTTGATTATTTCAGCAAGACAATGTCAAACCACATTCTTCATGTATTACAGCAGCCTTGCTTGGTATTAAGAGTCCAGGCGCTAAACTGGCCTGCCTGCAGTCCAGACCTGTCACCACTGATAATATTTGGTGAACTGCCGAGCAGCTGAAATCCTGTATCAAATAAGAATGGAAAACATTTCACTATAAAATATGCTTTATGTGATTTGCATATCATTGCATTCTGTTTTTATTTACATTCTGCACAGTGTCCCAACTTTTTTTGGAAATGGTGTGGCAGTGCTTTGTCTTTATATATACACTGTGTCCAGTCACTGTCCACTCAATTAGATGCACCTGCGTTGTTGGTCCACCCTGTAGATAGCTCATCTCTTGCTGTACAGTATGAGCTAATTATCCTCTAGTCCTTCATCAGTGGTCACAGGACGCTGCCCACAGGACACTGTTGGCTGGATATTTTTGGTTGGTGGACTATTCTCAGTCCAGAAGTGACACTGAGGTGTTTAGAAACTCCAGCAGTACTGCTGTGTCTGATCCACTCAGACCAGCGCAACACACACTAACACACCACCACCACATCAGTGTTACTTCAGTGCTGAGAATGATCCACCACCCAAATAGTACCTGCTCTGTGAGGGTCCATAGGGGTCCTGACAACTGAAGAACAGGGTAAAAGGGGGCAACAAAGTATGCAGAGAAACAGATGGACTACAGTCTGTAACTGTAGAACTACAAAGTGCACCTATATAGTAAGTGGAGCTGATAAAATGGACAATGAGCATAGAAACAAGGAGGTGGTCATAATCTTATGCCTGATCTGTGTGTGTGTGTGTGTGTGTGTGTGTATATATATATATATATATATATATATATGTTGATTTATATAGCATGTTTCATACATTGCGGGCATTCAAAGTGATTTACCAATGCTGAAATACAAAGATAAATTTTAAAATTATAATTTAAAATATAACAAATTAAAACAGGAATAGAAATTAAAAACATGATTAGAACAATAGATTTAAAAAAAGGAGAACCAATTTCAAAGTGATTTAAAAGTGTCAGGCTGTTCTGATGCTCTCTGTCAACTAGTTCCGTTAAAGAGCGGCATAGTAATAAAACGCTGCTTCTCCATGTTCATTCTTTGACTTAGGCATGACTAACTGACCAGTTCCTAATGATCTGAGAGTTCTGCTTGGCTCATATTGCTGCAGCCTGTCAGATAAACATGTTGGTCCTGCACCATTAAGACATTTAAAGTCCAGTAATAGTATCTTAAACTCTACTTTGTAACAGACTAGTAGCCAGTGTAAGGATTTAAGATTGAGGGGTGATGTGTTAACTTCTTTTACTCCTAGTGAGACTCTGGCAGCTGCATTTTGAATCAGCTAAAGCTGTTTGTCTTTTTTTTGGAGTCCAGTTAAGAGACCATTACAGTAATCAATCCTGCTAGAAGTAAAGCCGTGGATGAGTTTTTCCAGGTATGCTTTAATCAGAAAATTTTTTTGATGTTTCGAAGGTGTTAAAATACTTGTTTAGTGACTGCTTTGACACTACTGCTAAAACTAGTATCAGAGTCCATGAATACACCAAAGTTACATGCTAATTGTTTAGATTTTAGGGCTCTCGCATCCACTTAGGCAGGTAGTCCATCCCCCATATTGTTATTCCTGAATAAAATAATGTCTGTTTTATTTTTATTCAACTGCAAAATTTTTTGTCCCATCCAGTTAGTGATGTGCTCATTGCACTTAAACAGTGAGTCAAGGGGAACATAGTTGTTTTGGGTGAGGGCCAAGTAGATCTGAGTATTGTCTGCATAACTGTTTTCAGATATCCCATAGTCTTCTTGTTTTTGGCCAAGAGGAAGCACTATAAATTAAATAAGAGCAGCCCAAGAATTGAACCCTGGGGGACACCACAGGTCACTGGCACTCTGTCAGAAACATTATTTTCTATTTTGGCATAGTAATCCCTTCCTTGCAGGTATGAATTGAACCATGAACTGAACCAACCAGTTCCTGAGAGATCAGCCCAGGTCTCAAGTCCATCTCTGAGAATTTAGATATCATGTACTTGTCATCCACCACCTGGTTTGGCTACTCAGTGCTTCATTATATTAAATCAAGTATTCTGGTGATGGAATTAAACAAATCTACTTGAAGACTCTGTTTTGCTCCATCACTAGTAAATGCACATTTTGTGATCTAACATGCTGGCTGCATTCAAAATTGCATGAAATGATAACTAACCAGTATGCTTAAATAGTACATCACTGTTTGTAGTGAATTCTTTGGTACAGCATTGTAGTGTATGTCTTTGTGGCTTCAGAAATATTGAGAAAGAAATTTGCAAGAACATTTTCAGCTACTTCAGTTCCGGAGAAGATGCTAGAAAAAAAGAATGAACTAAGTGACAAGTGTGATGTCGTTAGCTGTGTATTTCTTCCTGTGGGGTGGTAGAGTGTTTGAGCAGTTTGAACATGGTAGCTTTCTTTTAGATGATCATCTTCAGTGAGAAACATATTTCAACTTAGTTGTTTGTAAAGAAAAAGTATTGGTTCGGTATCAGCCTCGGTATGGGAAAAAGTGGTATTGATATCTCTAATGTCTACCCATAATTATCTTCTTTTTTTGTTTGTTTTTTTCAAACACTGGAGCGGGGGTTCATTTTCCATAGCACTTTTTAAATGTGGCAATACTTATATCAGTGTCTAAGTATTGTGATGTCAGTTTTTTTCGCCATATCTCCCACTGCGACATTTAACCACATGGCACACTTCTGTTTTCTTCCTAATACACAACATTTCCCACGGGGGTTTTGGCAGCACTTGAATCATTTCAACTTTGGTGGAAAGAAAGAAGACAGAAGAAATGGCAAGCACAGTGATACAAATTTTAAACAGGATGCATATATTGTCTCAGTGTCAAAAGAATCTCAGTCTCTTCTCAGGATCTATAGTTTTGTTCATTAAGAGAACTGTGTTCATTAAAACAAGCTTAAAAATGGATCTTGGATATGTGTATATATCTCACTTTGGTTCCCTAAGACAAAAAGAATTGGGTAGCCCTGATCTAAGGTCCAGAAGAAGAGAGCTGTGCCAAGATCAATGTTTGAAGTTTCTGACTTTGGCCACGTGCCACACTTTGGGCAGCCCTGCTTTAGAACAAACATAGTGCTCTATAATGAGAGCGAGGCTAAACCCTTGGTGCTAATATTACTGACCACATAGGCCCCTGTCATGTAGAAGATGTTCCTCATCTTGCTGCATTTCGCAAGTTGAAATTGCATTAGCAGACTGGCCAAACCTGTACTGTATGATAAAACTCTTCTTTTTTTTTTTCACCTCCTTGGTTCCTCCCTCTTCCAGCCATCTCATGTTGCAACAAGTTTATGCAATATTAGTCGCATACTACAGCCACAGTAAATCCTGAACAATTAAAGGGTTTTTGTATTAAATTTGATTATTATTTCTTTTCTGTTCTTACATGCAAAATAATATCCATGTATCACTTTATCACTTAGGTTGTCATGGTCCCCAATGTTTGTTTTGTGGAAGCAGTCATAAATGATGTCATCATTGACCTTTCCTTTTTACAATAAGCTTCAAGATTAAAGCCTATTCTACAAGGAAAAGCTCAATTATGACATCATTTATAACTTTACTGTGTTTACATTTAAGCAGTAGAACACGAGATTGAGTGTGTCATCGCAAATTATACAACACTTAGTCCGGCCACGCAAGCTGATTGGTTGAGAAGCGTTTTTTTCACAAACACTGTATCACTCCGCTGAGACGCCGTTGCTAAGCAACAACTTTGACAGCTGTAGGAGACTCTGAAGCCATTTGAACGTTTTTACTTCTTACTTTGGCACCAACAGAAAAGGGACACTTAAGATCACATTTGACCGACAGCCGATTTGGTCAGACTGTGAAGATGAGACCACACCTTTGGCGAATGGTATTCATTTCTGGCTGATTCCAGGTTGTTTAGCTGTTCTTCTGTCACAGCTGCCGACTGAAAAGCTGCTCAGCGGTGATGACAGTTTGGGAATTTAGTGTCGTCTCATCTTCAGGTTTCTGACCAAATCGGCTGTCGGTCAAATGTGATCTTAAAAGTATCCATTTTCTGTTTGTGGCAAAGTAAGAAATAAAAATGCTCAAATGGCTTGAGCGTCTCGTACAGCTGTCAAAGTCGTTGCTTAGCAACGGCGTCTCAGCGGAGTGATACAGTGTTTGTGAAAGAAAAGTGCTCTTACGGCGAAATAACAGCACAGTTAGAGCGCTTCTCAACCAATCAGCTTGCGTGGCCGGAACTAACTGTTGTATAATATGCCAGTAGATGACGTCAAATTTGATGTTATTTAGTGGAGTAGCAGCGGAAAATTCTACCAGTGACGACAGCAGCACACAAAACAAGCAGAACTGTTTTTTCAACACACCAAACACATGCTGATAGTGTCAAAATCCATGGAAAATTCAGTTGCAGTTGCAACATCATGCAATTGTATAAAAAGAGAAGGCGATCACAGTTTTAGTAGTCTTTAGGATATTTAATGATTCATTTCATTAAGTTAATGGGATTCTTCCCATCGTTGCTATGAAAGAACGTTTGTGAGCAGAGCATGAACAGGCCAATTGACACAAATGATATTTGGATTTAAAAAAAAAATGCATAAAGTGAAAAAATACCCCATTCTTATGAGGTCTCTTCTGGCTTAGGGACCCTAAATCTGAAATCATCGAATTGGTGACCATATTTTTAAAGGAAAATACTACAAAGACAACATATCAAATGTTGAAACTTTATGTTTGAAATGAAATCTTATAGTTTTTTGAAAAATATATGTCCATTTTGAATTCGATGCCAACAACACATTCCAAAAAAGTTGGACACTATATTTTTAAAAAAACAATAACATTTCTCAGTTTCAACATTCAATATGTTGTCTTTATAGTGTTTTCAATGTAATATAGGGTTTAAATGATTTGCATATCATTGCATTTTGTTTTTATTTACATTTTGCACACCATCTCAACTTTTTTGGAAATCTGAAAGGGTAAATGAAGATATATTTATTTAACTGCATGTAATGCAAATAACACTGCTTAAGCTTAAATTAACGTAAGGCTGTAGGCTTACTAGTTTAGATGTCAAAACTGGTTGTAGGAGGCTAAAAAATATGCAGCACAAAAAATTAGCAGCACACAGAGGAATGCATTTGGAATGGGTTTTATTATTAAAAATAGCCATGTATTAGCCAGTATTATTAAAAATAGGAATGTGGTAGGTTTTCATGTCCAGTGAGGCGCCTCTTTAGAAGAGCTAATGAGCTAACAATAGAACTGGGTGCTGATAAGGATGCACCATCTTCTACGCAAGGTGTTTTCTCCTCGGTGAATGTGCCATATTCTTGGTCAGAGAGAGATATTTTCAGTTTCTGGACCTAGCTAACATCAGCTAGAGTCGTTAGCCTAGATAGTGAAACCACAGAGCTGCATCTTCCTCTTCAGCCACATCCTGAGCCACAGCGTATCCTTGGCAGTGCACTCATGTTAAGGCATTGAAGTTACATATTTTTCAAATGTAACATATAAAACGCTTAGTTACTCACAAAAATAAGTAAAACTGCCACACTTTACACCCCTGTTATACCATAAAATCAGAGTTTCACTGAATGGTTAGCTTGCATATTTTCCCAGTCTTCCTGTGATAGATAAATGTATTGAATTGAAATACTGGCATCTGGAACAATTAATATCGTGCTCAGGTACATTTGCACATCCCTGCATTAATGCCTATTGAAGTGTATAAGGTCATATTTGAGCCCTTGTCAAATTAAGGGGTCAGATATGACTTTGTGTTAGTTTATGTTGGTTTTCTAAGTGAAAATCTATGATCACATAATTTGAGTGCACAGTTTTTTATTTATTTGCTGAATTTAACATATTGGAAGAAATAAAATCTAAAATGTGCCATAACATTTGCACAGGCCTTTTTGCAGTGTGTTAAATCTAGCCAATATGCAGTGAGCATGTATTAAAATGTGTAGAAGTGTGTTCTGAAGAACTTTCACTTCTTTCACTTCTTTCACAAAATCATCAAAACATGCAGTGGTGCCCAATCTTTTGCACACGACTGTAGATAAGAAATATTCTCACATGGTATATAGAAATAAGAATAATTTTCATAAAACAGTTGTGCAGGGTGCGTTAAGGATTCTAGCTTACATGAGCCATTCCCAGTAGCCACCATCAGCAGGTAGTTCGGCTGTATTATTGATTGGACAGTTTGGCTGTGAACACAGATTTCTGGCCTAAAGGATTGGCGCTGTGAGAATTTGGCCCTAGGACAGATCTATTGAAGGCTTTTGTTCCAAAATGCATTACGGGCCACTCAAGGATTTGAATGAATAATACCACCTTTGTTAGAGAAATAAAATAGCTTTCTTTTATGTGTTGGCTGTTACTCTTTTCAGAAACTGTAGAATATACAGTATTTTGGAAGGAAACACTTGTCGACCCTTACCCTAAATGACTGTTTATACAGTTAGAGCAGGAAACGACTCTGGCTATACTTAGTGTAGAGTTTTAGAAGACTCCCATCTACAAACTGCTTTCAAGCCACAATTTCTCCTTTCACTATCAATGCAACGGGTTTGTGTGTGTATATGTTTGTGATTCAGAGTAGCATGCTGGTGTCGTTTGATGGCTCTGAGGCATATATATACGTGGGCCCGTGGGTTTCACACCTTGCACAGGGAACATGCTGAGGCTAGATGTGTATCTGTTTATCAGGAAGGTCAACAAAGGGCTGAGCCATCCAATATGAATGATACATACACATCGACATTTCCTTCAGGGTGGGGCAACACTTCTCACACTGGGGCAACACTTCTCTCACACCTTATTTAGTTTACTTCTGCTCTGGTCAGACTGATATTTCAGATGCGATTAAAAACGAGCATGTTAAAAGGGGACAAATAAGCTATGGTCAAAAGGTCATGCCAAAATCAAATCAGAGACCACCCTAATTTCCCATCAAAACAGCCATTAAGCACAAGTTATTAATTTTTAGGAGATATTTCTGATGTGATTGGATATAAGATGATTCACTAATGAAGGGGAGTGCCAAGGGGAAATAAGTGGAAAAGTTTTCAAAGCTGGAGTTCAACAAATGATTAAAAGAAACAGAAAAAAGGGACTCCTAACAACCATGCAAGACTGGTAGACCACCAAAACTCGCCCCATCAGATAAACAGCACTTAAAGCTTTCATCTTTGAGAGAGAGGAGAAAATCAAGCTCCACTCTTGATTCAGATCTGAGAAAATCCACAGGTGTTTCTGTTCATCCTTCCACTGTGAGACGACACTCAACACTATGGGTCTGAAAGGATGTGTAGCTGTTAAGAAGCTCTTACTGAGAAAAGGAAACAGACAAAAAAAAGAAGAAAAAAGAAGCTGCTCATGTTCTCAGAACAATGGACTGACCGCCCCAGAGTCCAGACCTCAACATCACGGAATGAGTTTGGGATCGCTTAAATTTTAAGAAGCAGAAAATACAACCAACTTCTAAGACTGAACTTTGGAGGTGTGGGGGGAAAAATATCCTGAAAGCAAGTTCTCTGAAAAGATTGGAAAATATAGGGTGGCCAAAAAAAATGATACTATATGAAGTTGTTGAGGCTTCTGTGTAAATTCTCTGTTAAAAGGGTTTTAATTTTGTCCTCACGCTGAAAAACAATGAACATGCCGACTTTTGCACTGTACTGTAGCTGGTGTGACTTTGTGGTCTCTCTCTCTCTCTCTCTCTCTCTCTCTCTCAGGCTGGGTCCGGTCTTTGCTCTCTTTGTGCCTTTCTTCTGTTCCATCCCTCGTGTTCAAGTCACTCAGCTGCTGGGCTACATCTCAATCACCAACAAATCGCTCGTCTACATCGTGGGCCTGCAGGTGACCTGAAAATATGACCTTATGGAATGTATTACAGTTAATACATTGATTCTCATATCACTGCTGTCGGAACTAAACCTCGTATCTCCAAAATGAGAAGTTTACAGGAAAAAGAAAACTTTACTTTTAATGTAAGTCTATGGAACCAGACTTTTTTCCAAGAAATTTACAGCTATTTCTTTCAGTCCATCATGAAATTAACACACTATGTAAAGGGAAACAGGCATTTTCAAATGATGTCAGAAACTGAAAAATGCATAGATGCATAGCACATTGGTGACCACACGTAAATGTATTATAATTTATGTCCAAAGTTTGTGGACACCTGCTTATCTAGTGTTTATTCTAAAATCAAGAGTACTTATAGGGAGTTTGCTGCAGTAACAGCGTCTACTCTTCAGGTAAGGCGTTACACTAGGTGTTAGAACACTGCCGTGCAGGTTGGATTGCAATTGCAAATTGCAATTGCCGGAAGGTATTGGATGGAGCTTCATCACTGCTCCACTGCTCCACACCCCAGTGCTGGGGTTTATATCCCTTTAGATGATGCTTATTCCATTTTTAGATATTTGGTTTGATCTATTCTTGAAAGTCCGTATTGAAGTGGCTTTGAGAGCATTGAACATTGATGGATGTCTAGCTAATGTACATCTGGTTTATAGCACTGATGAGAAGTGTGAACATCTAGTGGGACTGGGGCTACTGCTTGTGAAAAACAACACAGCAGAGTGTTGCATTTGCTTAGGATAGAACACGTTGATTGTTGTTGATTTCACCTTTACACTTTGCTCTGCGCCTGTACACATCCTGCATGAGCGTGACTAGATCAGAGTGTATGCTAGGATGTGTCAAAGCATCAAAGCAGCAGCAGTTATGTACTGGTGACAGCTTTTAACCAGTTGCTGCTTCAGCTGTTTTGGCCTGAAGACTCGTATGTCGTCTTTCGTGTGGAGTCATGCAAGTTCTCTTCAGAGAGCGTTATATGAAGTTGATCAGTGGTTCACTGATGAATCATTAAAGTGTTCTTAGCCATGCACTTAAAAGTGCGTTCCTAATCAGTGGCCTACTTTCAGGCAGGGCTTCACATTAAGCTTTTACGTGTAAATCTGCATTTTACTTGTCTAAAAGCCAAAATCAGTCGCCCAGGGGTAAAAAAGTAGTGGTCAGTAGTAACATTTGCAAATTATTGCATTATGAAAATAATTGTCCACCATTTCTTTCAGCTCTGCTGATTCAGGAAATAGACAGAGAGAGAGAGACAGAGAAAGAGTCTGAGAGAGTGAGAGTCAGAGATTTGAGCCTTCTCTGTTAAAAAGATGTTACTTGCTTGTTTTTGTTTGTTTTTTTTTTGTTTTTTTTTAATCTTGTCACTAAGACTAAATCAGTATTGTCATCTCTCTCTCACTCTTATCAGAATCAACTAGCACTAAGGGACCAGCCGGAGTGCTAATGTTCAATAAAAAGTTTAAGACACAGCTAGTTGCAGTCCTGCTTTTTAAAGCTACATAAAATTAATGTTTTAAAGAAGCTCACTTATATCATGTGAGCAAGACGTGATTTGATAGTTACTTTTGCAGCTAACTTAATAGCCGCTTTACCCATCAGCCAAATTGGGGCGCCACTGGAACATGTTCTTTGTCGTAGCATCACTCAGTCAAATTCAGTAGTAACACGTTGTTCCCCATAGACTCATATCAGTGTTAGCTCTTGGTTTGACTTGTGAAAGTTTCAAAATCATTTTGACTGGTTAGCGTCTGCTGCTGAAGTGAAACTCTCAGTTCTGAGGATATCAGATATAAACGTATTCCACTGTGCTCACACCTCAGTAGGCTACTCTGCTTGTATGCAGTCACATCTCTGCTAAAATTAATAATTTTTAATTGTATTAGTCATATATGAAGGCGCATTATTAAATGTCCTCACTAACTTTCAGCCCTCCAAAACTGTACCGTTAACTCACCACTCTATACAGTCCGTTTATGGAAACTAGACTGCAAAAACAGCCTGTTCTAAATTCATCATGGTTTTGACATCCCAGCCATGAACACATTTACATATAACTGCCTGTTCAGCCTGCAGCTGTTTAGCCCCGCTCATTCCGTCTGGAGTGACACAGAGTCTTGTTGCATCAAATAGTCTGTAGCTGAGTTTTGTTTATACAAAATTTCACTTGTTTCGGACAAAAGCCTGCTTTCCGGTATCTTTTATAAATTCTTTTTATTATTATTTTATTATTATAATATAAAAGTATGTTTTATTTGTGTCATTTTTTTGCTCCATGAAAGAATAAACTTAAAAAATTTTTTTAAAAAAACTACTCTTTCATTATATCAGTTTATCTTTGTTTATGTCTCTCCTAGTTGCTGACCTCTAGCGCCTATATGTGCGTTGTTGCTCTTAGTGGATTGGTAAGTAAAAAAAAACTGCAGCTTTCTAACAACAAAAAGTCCCTCCATTAACTGCTTTGCACATCTGAAGTCTTGTTTAGTCTGTCACCCGTCCCACGCTTAGTTATGACGTATGAAGTATCTAAACAAACCAGGCAACTGGCTATATAGTCAAAGTTTTGGCCCCTCTGCTTTCAGTTTTGTTATGTTTATTTATGTTGCCATGGCTACTGAACTGTTGGCTCTTTGATGAAGTTTCCATGGTACCATTTGTTGTTGTGTTGTAGATCTCCGGCCTGCTCTACTATAACAATGCATTAGCGGTGCAGCGATTTCTCCAGGTTCCCCGATGGCTAGCTCGTTGCTGCTCTGTCATTCTGGAGCCTCTTTTCTCGGGCACGGAGCCACAAGCCGAGGCTCCAGTGGGCATGGGGGCCACACTGGACATCCAGCGACAACAGCGCATGGACATGCTGGACCAACAGCTGCTGCTCTCCCAGTTGGCCCAGTTCAGGAGGAATGCACAGCAGCAGCAGCCACAGGTAATGTCGAATGCATGAAATACAGCTGCTGGTTTCAACCAAATTTGTTAAAGGAATACAGAATTTTTTGATATGAATGAGATACTGGGATCTAGTTGCCATGATGTTACTGGAATAATGCTATGTGCTCCCTGCTAACTACCAACCATTCAGCAATGTGCTGTTCATGCACCAGTCCTTACAGTCTATGTATGGAGGCTGCAAAAACAGTCTGTTTGAATTCATCATTCTTGTGCTGTCACATGAATACATGCACAAACAGTACTGTGCAGAAGATTTAGAAATCTGTTGATTTGGGTAGTAAGCATTTATTTGCATAGACAAATACTAATATTAGAATAAATACAAATAACATTTAATGCTATCAGTATTGATTTTATGTATGTCAGTGCTTTCGTTTATTCATTTCCAAACATCTCCTTGTGGAAGCCCAGTATTAGTAGTTGTCATCCATTACTTGTTTTGGTTAATTAGTGCTTCGTTATGTTAAATCATGTGGGCTAGAGGTGACGTTTCAGTGATTGATGGCTGGGGGTCTTGGGGAGAAATCTGGAAAGAAAATGTCTTCATAATTTATCTACATTTACGTTTATTTTAATGATACTTGGTGATTTTTACAAACGCAAACACAACTACTGCCCAGATAAAGAGTTTTAAATAATGTGCTTAGGTGTCCAAAACTTTTGCAGAGTCCTGCACTGCCTGGGCCATGCCCAATGTTGGCCGATGGACACCTTCAGACCTTGGATATGTAATGATGAGTAAATGAGTGTTATTTGTAGTCAGTGCAGAGTGTAAGGCACCGTTAGCTGTAGTCTGTCCAGGCAGCACCACTGAATAAGTTCAAACTTTTCTACCACTAAAATGACGTCTTGATCTTAGGCTGTCAGGGAATGGTCCATGCCAATGGCATAGAACCCCTCCCCCCCTCAAGGTCAATAATAATCCCTGTGCTGCCTAACAATGTTGTTCTTGCTTATCAGCCGTACTGCTGCACAGCCTTATTCTACGAGAGAATTCTGTTCGTACAAATTTCCAATTTTTATTAATTTCATCTTGCATCAATGGGCTGGGACAGCACCACCATTCATGCTAGCCTGCTAGCTCTGTTGCGGGTGAACATGGTAGCATCTCTTCTGCAGCCATGGTAAAATTAAAGACTTGCACGCGAAAGTGTTTGGGTTTTGAGCACTCTGAAATCGCTTTAGCTGACCTATTTTACTACATGCACTGTTTTAGCTTCTTGCTGGTCACCCTTCACCACAGAGTTGACCTTCTGTGACAGGATGTAAAGCTCCAGCTCAAGCCATGCAGTACACTGTGCTCTCCCAAGACCACCACACATAAAGACCTGTACAATAAGGAACTTAGGGAAGTTTTGACAAGGATGGTGGAAGAGCTGGACCTGACATGGCCAGACCCCCACCTCCTCCAGCGTCTATGTTAGGGTTGCCCTTTTCCAGGGGCCGGCTATCACCAAGCCCTTGCCTCCTAGACCTCTGCCTTGCTGTCCAGACATCAGCACAGAGTTAAGACACATTTTCCCACTCAAGCCTTTCAGGCAAGGTCTACCATCAATACTGAACCAGAGTTTCGTTACCTGGCTGTGGCATCCCTGTTAGAATCTATAGCTTGGCATCTGTCCGCCTCAGCTACCTCACAGAAGCCTCGGCTTAGGCATGCAGGCTTACTGCCTCTTTAGCTAAAAAGTCAGATAAAGGGCATTGGACCGCAGGTAACGGAACACCTCACTAACCAGGGCCCTGCCTGGATGGTGGGCCCTCCAAAAGCCTTGCAAATAAATTGATTTCGGTTTCTAATTTTGACATTTTCTGTTGTTTTCTTTATATGCTTATCTGCTTGCTTCTTGCTCCTTCCCCTCAGAAGTAAAAGTGGTTTGACCCTCCGGTGTGCAAATGCATCAGGTAGATAACGCAGCTTAAGGGAGCAGATTGTGGCTCCAGCTCTGAAACTAAAATGAAAACAAAACCAAAATCAGATTTCAGAAGTGCAAGGAGCAAACAGGGTGAGAGATAAAGCTGAAAGAGGGCGAGCAGACAGAAGTTTCTTTCAGAGAACAGGTGAGCTCAAAGTGCCCAACTGTAAATATGTTGCAGTAAACTAGCTCAACAACAAGTGATTAACTAGTAAGCAGTCATTCATAACAAGCACAATCTGATGAAGAAGCAGGATTTATTTACATGCAGCTAATAACATTTTATTAATAGTTAAAGTAACAGGCAGTGTTTGTGATCATAACCCAGCAAAGTTCACAATCAGCCCAGCAGCTAACCTGTAAAACGCACACTGTTAGTTCCAGAAGTCACTGAGGGAGAGAGAGCAGCACCTCTTTTTTTTCTGATGCAAGTGAAGACATAAGACAAGGTGAGCTCACCAAAGCAGGTTGCTAATAGTTTTCCAACTTCCAGTCAACCATTTGTTGAGCAGTTTGAGTGAAAATGGCAGTAATTATACTTTCATTTTTTTTTTTTCTCTTTAATTACATTGATTGTGTTCAACAGAGAATAAGTTTAAGTCTAATCTTTTCTGAACTACAGCAAGGTTGAGGATTCAACACAGCAAAAATGGTAACTTGACGAGTAAATTAACTTAAAGGTATTCTCCAGGGTATATTTTGGTTTTTCCACTTGAATTTAAATGACCAAATTGTAAGGCAAATTATTCAGTAACTGCATGAAATAAATGTAAATTTTTATTTTATTTATTTATTTATTTTTTTGGGGTAAAAGCTCCCCTCAAATTAACAGAACGTGTTTTATGATCATACACATATCGCTATATGCTTAAAATGTACTGCTGAAGGCCAAAAATCTTAAAAAAATCATTTTTACAGAGCAGATCACTGAAGAGACGCCATCCGTTTATAGTTTATAGCCCAGATTTGTGGAAAAATGGGTCAACTTTCAGTAGTCTTCTTTTATTATAAGGGTTTAAAGTTCAGCTTCTTCTATTATAAGAGTTTAAAATTACATTACCCATCTATTTGACTGGAAAGAAGACAGTTACAGCTCCCATATGACACCCACCTTTTGAATGTAGCTTATGAAATATGAAAGTTATGAAGAATATGACGAAGTGCGTTTTGGAACCACCGGTGGTCTCAAGGAGTTGAAGAGGTTGATGTAATGTTTTTAAGTTTGAAATTGTTGTAAGCTTATTATAAAATTATCTAACTAGACATTTTTACTTGTTTTAAGTAATTTTTTATTATGTGAAGTTTTCTCAATGTATTAACAGATAAATTTACTCTTTTTTTTAGAAACATGCTTGAAACTAGCAAAATTATCTGCCAATATGGTGAGCAAAATAAACTCGACAAAATTACGTAAAGCAAGTAAAAATGCCTAAAATAAGTGAAATAGCCTTAAAATAAGTTTGCAACAATCTCAAAATGAGAGAAAAATATTAGATATCTTAACTAGATTTAAGATAATTTTACTTGCCAAGATACCATTTTTTGCAGCGTTAGCTGTTTTACCTTTAAAACAGTTGCTTACCAACTAACCTCATAGATAAATACATAAATAAATATCTAATAAACCCCTTCGCTCATTAACCATGCATCCAAGTGACACTACGGATTCACCTCTGGGCGCACAGACATTTACACACTTCTCTCATGCCAAGTCAGCAGAGTTGAGGGGCAGATCTAATTTCAAGGGGTGGTTTGCAGACAATGGAGTGGTGCATTCACCCACAAGTTATAGAGGAGATTTGGGGCTGGGTTTGCCGGTCGTGTGCGCAACTTCCCATTGGCTCACGATGTCTTGGACCCATCTGTGGCCCAGGACATTCTTATATGTATTCCCTCCAGTTCCACTAATTCAGCAGGTTCTGGGCAGAGCACAGGTTAAAATGAACCCTGATAGCCTCTCAGGCATGGTTTCCAGACCTAATGTCTTTGATAGTCATGGCACAATGGGTTCTGCCACTTCATGCAGACTTCTGTCACAAGCAGCAGGGGAGATTTTTCACCTCGCCCCGCTGAGATTCAAGTAGCTTGACAAACGGAACAGGAGGGTCTTCTTAAAGGCTGTCCTCCTTTATCAGTTGTAGAGACTATAGAGTGCGCCAGTGCTCCTACAGCCAGATCAGTGTACGCAGATAGATGGGAGACATTTGAGCATTGGTGTAGTGAGTGTAATGAGGACCCGATAGAGTGTGGCATAGTTATTTTAAGCTTCTTGCAGAGCCTTTTTGACAGAGGGCTATCTGCATCTACTTTAAAAGTATACTTGGTTGCAATCTCCACATGCCATCCTAGTAATGAGAGATTGCTCTGCAGGAAGTCACCCCTTGGCTACTCGGTTCTTGAAGGGTGCCCGCTGTTTATGGCCATCTAAGTGATATTTTATACCTTGATGGGATCTGTCCATTCCACCGTTTGAGCCTACAGAGGCAATTGTGTGATTCATGCTGTCCCAATCCAAATATTGGGTTATTGATGTAAACTGTCCAGTCCGGATGCTCCGAGTTTATGTGGAAAGGACCTGTGCCTTGCGCCACACAAGTTGTGACCAATTGTTTTCGTGTTTTGGTGAGAAAATGCAGGGAAAGACCCTCCCCAGAGGGTGTAAAAGCCTACTCTACTAGAGGTGTTTCAACATGGTGGGCGCTGCTTTTGCTGCTTTTTCCACACATGATATTTGTGAGGCTGTGTCTTGGGCCTCGAGTAAAACCTTTGAACATGACAGCTTCGTCTTTTTCACGCACTGTGCTCAGAGCGGACAGCAGTCGCAAATATAAACTGGGAGCATTGGGAAAGTATAGTCTATGTTCTGCCTCTTTGATCAGGAAGGCCCTGTTTTTGTGATCAGCGAGGTTGGTGGTATACAGTTTGAAATGAAGTAACACAAATGGGCTGTCCTATAGTCCTGGTTTTACAGATGAAGAATGAGAGTTCTTACTATGTTGGCCTTTGCTGACCTCTGATCAGAGGCAGAATTTACCTTATTAGGCAGTGCAGAGATTATTATAGA